TAAATAATTAGAAATATTCATTTACACACTTTATAATTAATAAAAGAAAAGAAAAATAAATATGTGTAATAAATATAAAGAATAAAATAAGTCTAATAAATGATATGAATATTATACCATCGTGGTTATGGAGTATGTTTAAATAAATGAATCGATTTACAACCAATACTATAACAATGAAAAAAAATAAAACCATTGTAAAATCACTCTAATAATACTAAAAACGTTAATTAAAAGATATATCTACTATTGGATTTTCTTCACATTAAGAAGTGATTATTTCAATTTCTTCAACATAACCTATTGGAAATAACTCACATAATAACAAATTTAAAATGAACGAAAAAAGTATCATTACTATCCAGGATATTAAAAGTAATTGATAAAAGAAATTAAAAATATAGAAAAAATTATATTGTCATGAAATGATATTTTATTATCTACTCAGGAATAAAAAATAAGCACAACAGAAGAGAGAAAAATTAGATGAGGTTCATCTTCTTAGAATAAGAAATCTCATACATAAACTTTGTTAATAATTAACTACAGTTGGTATTTATTCACAGACTTGTTTTATTCAATGAGTTGTAAATAAACAAAATTGAATGACAAATTCATTTAAGAGGGATAAAACTGTCAAAAATAAACGACTGGTCAGCCTCATACATTACAACGATTGGATATAATTCAGTTTGAGTTATTCCAACGAAAGCAGGTTTTAACAACACACCATTAATGATAAACCCAATTGCCTTATCTTCCTTTGAATACCAACAAACAACAGAATCTTCCATTGTGATTTCAGAATTGTAGTATTGGTGGTTTGGAGTATTTGGAGTTATCTTTTCAGAATATAAGTTTCCATTATAAATAGACATATAATATCCCATTTTAACCCATTGCTGTCCAACTGGAATAGTATCTGGAGTAGCATAAGTGAAGCCAACATACATAGCATTACAAATTCCTGATTTTCCTGGTGCACCAACCCTAATTGTGTATGCTGAGACTTGTTCAGGAATCATTGCAGTACTGAATTGTTTATGTAATTTGTTCGTAATTGTTGTACCTGAAACTAACATACCTCCATTTGAAACCTTAAATTTAATAGAATCTCTTTTTGGTAAGGAAGAAACAATAAAGTCAATCAATTCCTTTTTGTGTATCTTTTCAATATGAACTTCTCCATTGAAAATCATGTTATTTATTATTGCTTGTGCTGATTTGATTGTTTGTTTCGACAAGACTAAATCAAATATTTTTTTCTCAAATTCTCCACAATCCAAACTTGATTTTTGAAGAACAAAAAGTTGTTCATAGTCTTGAAGATTGATAGATGTACATATTTCTTTGATAGTTAATTCATTATGACTTAATATAAATGCATTAATACATTTTTTCATTGAGAAATAAATATCATCAGAATTAATTCCATATTCCATTAACTCTTTAACAATAGCTTGAATTTCATTGAGACTTTTATCGTTACAAATAACTTCTCCTTCAGTTAGATACATTAACACATATTTAAAAAGTTCCTTACTTCTATTTATTTTAATCTTCTTCTTTTCTATTTTATCTGACTCAGTCTCTTCAGTAACTGTCTTTTCTTCATTTTGAGATTCTTCGTTTTGTTCTTTTATTTCATCTAAACCATCCTCATTAGATTCTTGTTTAAAAGCAATATATTTAGCAAAGAAACTATTTTGACAACGATCACTTTGTATAACACTTTCATCAATAGTCACTTCTCCATCAGTAAATTCAATTGTAATTTCTTTAGGATTAAAACTACCAAGTGATTTTTGGAATCTTTCTATTTCTTTGAATTGTTCTTCATATTTTTTTAGTCGTTTTTCCATGCTTCTTAATGAAACGTCGATACTGATTAACATATCAGTTTTAATTCTATTAAAATCGTTAACAACTCCCTCTAAAATTTGTTCAATTTTAGAACTTCCATCTTTATGCATTTGAAGAAAACCTTGTAACAATTCATCTAACTGATTTGTTGCAATTACAGTATCTTCAGTTTGTGGGATATTTTGTTTTATAGTCTCTACTATTCTTAATTTACTGTTCCCTTCAAGAATCATCATCTCTAAAAATGTCTTTTCATTAACTTTTAATGCCTCTTGAAGATTGTCTAATTTATTGTCAACTTCTTCCCTAATCACAGCAATCTCTTGTCTTTGTCGTTGAATCAATTCACTCTGTTCTTTGCAATTCATTATTTCTTTTTAAGTTCTCACTATTTTTTAGATTTATTGATATTACAAAACCAACATAAAAACATTGTTATTGTGCAAAATGTTTCAGAACTTAAAAAAATCACTCTTCCTTCAAATTATGAGAAAAGCATTTGTTCAAAAAGAAAACACAAACACCGTCTTTTCAATTAAACATAATACTCCAATGATCAAAAAAATTGAAGTTTGCAATAAAAATTCTTTTGTTCCTTTCCCAAATGAAGAGGTTGAAGATATACCTTATGTAGATTGTGAAGAAATTATCATTCCTGATGATTTGGAAAATGAACGAATATCAAATATTAGGAATCTCTTATTTCTTAACCCAAATTTTAGTGATAGTGATGATGACCTTTGGAGTGGTGAACAAACCGATTTTCATTATTCTGATCAATCTTCAGATTCTATCTCGTTAATGTAAATTCCTCAATAGTATAAATAATGTTATATAACACACTTTTAATATGAAGTTTTTTATTGTTAATTTTATTTTATTACTTAATATTTTATAAAATTTAAAAATATGAAAAATACTTAAAATTATAATAACAATGTCACTTCAACGAATTATTATTCGTGATATTAGAAATAGAAGTCAAAATACTTATGAAGTTTCTCCTCAAATGACTGTTGATGAGTTGATTCACAAGATGGACCTACACCCAACATTTGGACTTTCATATCAAAATATTATCTTAGAAACAAATCGACCACTATCTTACTATAACTTTGAAAATGATACGTTATTATATGTATGTCCAACACCTCGTACAAATGTGATTTCTCAAATCTTGCCTGGATTCGCTGAATTATCACAAAGTGGAGATTTGCTCATTCCGTTCATCGAAAATTTGATTAATCAAAATGCAGAAGTTCTTGAAGCACTCCAAACCACTGGTCATCCTGTCAATTTTAGAATCTCAATCCGTTCTAACCAAAATGGTCAACCTACAACAAGAACTTTTCATGTTCAACGACAACCTTCTACTCACACATCAGTTCCAGGAACTCAAGTATCAACACGAGTCCAACAAGCACAAAATGGAACTCGAATGAATATCCAACGTCAAGACACACAACCACGTCAAAACCTTAATCAACTTTTGAACAATGAAATATTTAGATCAGTGATTAGAAGGTCTCAACAAGAGCATTATGAAGAACGTTATGATGTTGACTATAATACAGCAATGGCATTTGTTCAATCTTGGTTAAATGTTACTTCTCAAAATCTTTCAAGGACTCAAACAGTTTTTAATGCATTTGTCAATTTACTAAACAACCCAAGAATTGTTTTATCCCAAAGTACTTTTGGTCAAGTTACTTCTCTTATGAGAACTCTTGCAGACTATCTTAATCATACAGCTTCAGTTATGGAAAATGAATTTTCTCAACGACAGAATGAACACTCTAGAAGAGTTCCAAATGAACAAATAGGAAACGAATATTTAAGAAGTGAACTTATTAACCAAGAAGAAGATTTGCTTTGGAATGCCTTTGAAGAAACACTTACTGAAGAAGCTAGTCTTAACGAAATACAGGTTATGGAAAATTCTATTAATGAAATTAATACATTAAATAATTATATTATAAGAAATAATGAAAATGAAATATTAATAAATGAAGATACTCCTTTAGAACAAATAAATATGATTATTGACCAATTAAAATAAATTATCACTTAAAAATTATTTTGTTAAATTTTTTCTCTTTTATTAACCTTTAAATATGTTTAAGAGTCTGTCCTTTCACCTATTTTTTTATGTTCTGAAACAAATCAAGAAATTGGCTTTATCTTATTTGAACAGAAGGTTTTATTATTTTGAGTATTAATCTTTCTATAAGAATTTTAAATAACACTTTACATCTATAATGATAATGATTTTGATTATCATTAATTTTGTTTTAAAAAACAAATAATAATAATAAATTGTGTGATAAAGAATTAATTATCTCCAAATACATTTATCAATACCAACGACTCTACAAAGAATTTGTGATAGTTTAAATAAAGAATACAATGCATCAATGATATATACTTAAATGAAATAAAGAGAGGTGA